AAAAAAATTAAGGCTATTACATCTGCCTTCTTCCACTATATTAAATGGTTGACTTCACCCCTACAGAAGGCAAACCAATCAGAGAAACAATACATGTCAAAATGCAACTGAAACTGAGATCCAGCCTGAACTACAGGAGCTGTCATCGAGTTAGACTTGTGGTCCAGCCAGCCCAATGTTCTGTGGTCAGCAGGGGCCCCAGGGAATCTACGAGAGGGTAGGCATGTTTTCATGGACACCAAACCCTGTTGCTTATGACTCATACCACCCAACTACTTAGCCCTTTTTCTGTTTTCCAATGGACTGGGAAACAGCCGAGTTTATAAAGATGCGTCTGCTAACAGAATCAGATAGGTAAAGCACAGTGTTTATTGGGGAATGCTGCTAAGGGATTTACGAATCAAATCAAAGTCAAACTAGACAGCTATGAGAATCTCACTCAACTGCAATTTTATAATAGCCAATTAGGTGATGAGTGGTTGCCCAAAAGTACAAAACAAAGGCTACAAAGGCTGACAATTTCTTCATAGGCTTTTTCCCTATCTCCTTTGTCTATTACCACTATTTCTATTCAACGTTTTCCTGGAGGTCGCAGCAAGCACATTAGGGAAAAAAATGAAATAAAAGGTATAATGATAGGAAAGGAAGCAGTAAAAACTGACATTATTTGCATTTGTGATGACTGATGGTATCTGCAGAAACTCCACAAGGCTCTATAGTTAGAACTAGTAAGTCAATTTCGCAAGTTTGCTGGATACAGGTCAAAAGAGTATTCCCATAAACTACAACAACAAAAATTAGAATATAAAAAATTAAAAATACCATCTACAATAATATACACACAAAGATAAAATAATCAGAAATTTATCTAAAAATATATATATAAAAGCTCACCACTGAAAACTACTGAAACACTTAAAAACATTTAAGACAAAAAAATGAAGCCAGTCATGAATTGGAAGACCTGATGAGAGCCAACCGTCAATTCTCCCCAAACTGATTAACAGATTCAACCCAAACTGATCCACAAATTCAATGCAATCACAATCAAAATATCAGAAGGTTTTATTTACTTACTTATTGGTAGAAACTGACAAGCTGACTCTGAAATTTATACGGGTATCTGAAGGACCTACAATAGCTAAGGCGATCTTGAAGAACAAAACTGGAAGACGTACGCTGCCAGATACTAAGACTATCTGAGATACAGCCAGTCTTCAAATTCCGTGATGCTGCCAGTAGAAATTTCACCCCAAGCCCAAAGTACCCACTCATTTACCATAAGTTGGCTAGTTTAATTCATTTTTCCTATAAGTGTTTTTCTGAGATCTCCATAACATAACCACTTACCAGTATTGCTTTAAGTGATATTTGAAAAGGTTATTTATAATGACATCTAACACAGCTCATGAATAACTGTTAAATCTGTGTTAATTTTGTCTCTCTTTTTTTCTAACCAATTTTTCAAGTGACTTCTGCTAGAATAGTAGGAAAGTAATATCTTGAGATTCGTTAAGTTTAATGTGGCTTCTCTAATAAATACTGTATTTTTGAAAAATAATAGGCTAAGAGACATCATAAAAATTGATTACAATACAAATCCTTCTTTGCTGAAAATAACGTTTGAGAAAAAAATCTTCCTATATATTAAATGGGCATATACGTTACTTGAACAAATGGCCATTTCCCTAACTCCTTAGAGAGAAACATCCAAGCATGCATGCAAACTGGAATATATGAACATTTGCGTCCTTGGCCAAAGGCAGGCAAAAAACAGAATAAAACTTTAGCCACACACTTATATCTCTCAACCCAACTAATATCCCAGCAAGAAAAAGGGCAAATCAGAATACACCAACAACATACAGAAAACACAGGCAGCACTGCTTTCATGAAATAATTCCCACACTTTTACAGGTGAGTGACCGAAACCATAAACATTCTTCCTCTAACATGGATCACTATAAATCTCACCTGCCTTTTAAACTCCGGTATTATTTGTTCTGTTGAATTGCCAGTTAAGACCCCACAAATACAAAGAGAAGTGTTCACAGACCAGCGTTTCTGGGCCTACTCCAGAAAGTTTGTTCGACACGCTGGAAGTTTCTGCCTGTTTTGAAGCTTGTGGCCTGAAATGACTTTTCTTCCTGGCAGCAAGTTTAAGTCCAGTAATATTTTTAACATTAAAAATAACTCCCTCACGCATTACTTAAAATTCCTAAAAAGAAAAAAAAATCCTAAAATGACTGTTCTATTTTATACTCTAATTTTAAGTAATTCATTTGTTAATGAGAAACTTTCATTACTAAGTTAGCTCCATTTGAACTGTGCGGCATGAAAACCTATTATAGACTTTTTGGTACAGTTTTCTTTTGGCTTGGCTGAGGTCATACACACCAATTCAGCATTTATCGTACTAAAATCTCGAGAAGAGTCATTTATAGTAACTCAAGGCTATCTTATAATATTAGAACCGGCCTGGAGGCCATGAGCTTCTAATCAGAACTACAACCAAAATCATCAAGACACAAGTATTTACCCTAATTATTTATTCATCTGTATCTCCTAGGTAGTATCTTAACTACCCAAATCTCCTTAACTATGTTATCATTTACGATTTGTTCTATGAATTATGGTTTAAAAACAACCAAATAAATGTTATCATGAAGAACCGCATGTTCTCATAGTTCACAAGCTGTTTGAACAAGTTCTTGAATATTTCTGGGTTACCTTTAAATAGCTAACAGGATCACAGACATTATTAGAAAAATGCTAATGGATGAATGTATAAACATTAAGCACTGCACAACTCTGAAAGTTTCCTGTCACATCAAATCCCTCAAGGGACTATTATAAATTCCAAAACACACCATCTAATCCTAAACACAATTTTCAAAATGTGTTAACTAGATAAACATCTCACTCTCTGCCTTTTTTTTTTGACGAAGATCAGCCTCGAGCTAACATCTGCCAATCCTCCTCTTTTTGCTGAGGAAGACTGGCCCTGAGCTCACATCCATGCCCATCTTCCTCTACTTTATATGTGGGACGCCTACCACAGCATGGTGTGCCAAGCGGTGCCGTGTCCACACCCGGGATCCAAACCAGAGAACCCGGGGCCGCCGAAGCGGAACGTGCGCACCTAACTGCTGCACCACCAGGCCAGCTCTGCCTTTCTAATATATCACAAACAAGAACAAAAAGACACAGGCTCAGTTGCTTGAGGGCACAGTACAAAGAGGGTTCTAAGAAAAGAAACGGAGAAATTCAAGAGGAGCTAGCCCTTACATTTAGAAAGGGAAAAAAGGCAAAGACAGCTCAGTTCTCCATACACCAATGATTCCATTCCTTTTTTTTCTTAGTTTTTTTAATTGAGGTAACATTCGTTTATAATATTAATTTCAGGTGTGCATCATTACATGTGGATTTCTGTGTAGGTACATGTGTGCACAACCCAAAGACTAACTGCCATCCATCACCATACACACGTGCCCTTTTACCCCCTTTGCCCTCTCCACTCTCACCTTACCCTCTGGAAACCACCAATCTATTACCTATGTGTTTGTTTGTTGTTATTATTTTATTGAGGTCATATTGGCATATAACATTGTGTAAATGTTCAGTGTACATTAGTACATTTCAGCATCTGTACAGACTGCATCATCTACACCACCAATAGTCTAGTTTCTATCCGTCACCATACATATGTGCCCCTTTAGAGTGATTCCATTCTTGATTGGCTATCACTCACCTAGACACTTTTTAAACATTCAGATTCCTGAGAATGGTGGTCTGAACATGTGTTTAAATTTCCTCTCCAAATCCTATTAAAATGACAAGCAAGAAATAAAAAAAATAGGGGCCAGCCCGGTGGCACAGCAGTTAAGTTTGTCCATTCCGCTTCGGCAGCCCTGGGTTTGCTGGTTCGGATCCTGGTTGTGGACCTAGGCACTGCTTATCAAGCCATGCAGTGGCAGGCGTCCCACATATAAAGTAGAGGAAGATGGGCATGGATGTTAGCTCAGGCCAGTCTTCCTCAGCAAAAAGAGGAAGATTGGCAGCAGATGCTAGCTCAGCGCTAATCTTCCTCAAAAAAAAATAAAAGAAATACAAAAAGCATAAACCTACAAAAACAAAAAGAATAACCTAGAAGAAAACAGCTGATAAGAGATGCTCATGACATTGTGGAAGATAAAGTGGATGGACAAGAAGTAATAAACTCTTAGAGGCCAGAGAGAATGGAAACCTTACTGTCTACGGGGGCAGGAGGGTCATCCATATCCAAGCTTCAATTCCCTACTCCTCAAGTCATGTTTGTTAAGGCAAGTTTTGGTGACCCACGTAGCAGCATGGGGTGATGAACTGAGACCCCACACAGGCGTGAGGCAACAACTTCAAACATTTTAACCGGGTACACCAAAGGAAATATCCACATTTGATTAATTCTAGTAATAAAATCCTCCCCTTTCTTTCCCAGTCACCACCTCCACAATTCTTCTTTTAAGAATAATTTAAATTACATTTGAATTGTGTACTTATCAAAGAAAATGTGTGAGAAAACCAAATTATTACATATGAAGCTACTCAAAAGTACAAAGATTTGCCCTTGCAGTAATTGGACAGCTTGGTTTTTTTTACTGTTATAATAACCTTCTATGCTATAAATACTGAAAGCTTAACAATCTGGATCAGAAGGTAAAAAGAAAACTAGAACCCATACATAAAATGTATCATCATTAGAAATCTGAAAAAGTTTACTATATCCTGAAAGCATTAATACTGAGTATTATTCCAGCTAAAACTCTGTAGTGTTTGTAAAAGAGAATCTTCCTGATAAAATACATAAAACCTTAAGTTACTACTTACTCATTGGGTGCATTTACTAGTGGAGTATGTGCCACTCTTCCAAGGACCACCCAACACCATCCCTCCATATCCAACTTTTTTTGCCATTCACTCCTCACCACGAAGCCTGGGAGCACCAGATCAAGGTCACAGACCTTCTCCCTCAGTCACATCAGAACGCTCCAACTTGGCTTCTTTATGTTGTCCTTCTGCCACCTTCACAGCAACAGCTCGGCAAATGGCCCCAAACTTCCTATCCAGAGAGCGAACCCCTGCCTCTCTGGTATACCTGTCGTAAAGAAAAACACTTTACTGGGGCTGGCTGCATGGTGTAGTGGTTAAGTTCAGCATGTTCTGCTTTGGCAGCCTGGGTTCGTGGGTTCAGATCCCAGGCATGGACCTACACCACTTGTCAGCCATGCTGTGGCACTGACCCACATGTAAAGTGGAGGAAGACTGGCGCAGATGTTAGCTCAGGGACAATCTTCCTCAAGCAGAAAAAAAAAAGAGGAAGATTGGCAACAGATATTAGCCCAGGGCTAAACTTCCCCAGCAAAAACAAAAAAAACCCAAAAAAACCCACAAAGAAAGAAAGAAAAAGAAAAATACATTACTTTTGGCAAAACACCACCTGTAAAAATAGACATAAGTAATGTGATTCACATTTATACTAAAGAAACAGTGTACATTAAAAGTTCATTACTTTTCAAGTTTTTTCATTGAAGTAGTGTTATTTCTTAAATACTCAGATGTATTTTCAGCTACAACTTCTCCCTTTATACAGATTATCTTGAACTATTACACTATACTTAGAAATGAATTCTTGGTTCCTCATTTATATTGCCAATATAAATGTGGCAGCACATCAAACATCATTTACTCCTTGATGACATGTGTAAAGCTTTCTTAAACAAAATTGGTCAATTTAAGAAAATTCTAGATAATTTATTATACTTGAAATATTGCTGGAAAAAATCAGAAAAAAAATTTTTCCAACTAAATCAAAGAAGAATCTGAGGCAGAAATCTACTTTTTACTAGGAAATATGCTAATCACCTCCATTCAGCATCTTTCCATTATAGACTTCTAAAGAAAGTAAGAATGCTAAGGGATGCAAGCATTGTGCTTTTGTGAAAAATACTCTAAATGTGGTTAGGCAGAGCTGTCTTAAAAAACTTCTATGTGGGGACAGCCCCTCTGGCCTAGTGGTTAAGTTTGGCACACTCTGCTTCAGTAGCCTGGGTTTGCTGTGTAGGTCAGAGCCCAGGATCCAAACTGGCGAACCCTGGGCCACCAAAGTTCAGTGTGTGAACTTAACCACTTGGCCATGGGGCCAGCCCCAAAGATTATCTTTATAACAATTTTATTTACTCACCAAGAAGTAGTCAGCAGTAAGCACTCTAGGACTGGAAGAATTCAAGTAGGCTAGTTACACTGGGAGGTACGTAGGAATGGATGACTTCTAAGATTCCCTGCCCCCCGAACATTATGGATCTACGACAGTGACGCATGAAAAGACGAAAACACATCAAAAGAGGAAAAACTATGTCCTAAGTTTGGTAACTCACTAAATATCTAAAACTTGCCTGGAGGAGCAAATCATGTGCTGTTTTTAAAAATATTAAAACTGCTTAGAGAAATTTCCTGATATCCACAGCTTTTAATATCTGATGTTCTGAGCTAATAAGTATATAAAAACAATAGTTCTCCAGGCAACAACTGGGAAATACAAATAATGACAACCCTTCAGAGTCATTATTATTTAGATTCAAAGCTATGGATATTTTTCTTTATCACTCATATTTTACACATAGGGAAGCTATTAGAAAGATTAAGTGACTTGTTGAAAGTTACCCAAAAGCATCAGGGGTGTTATCTAGAATAAGGATATTGTTGGAAGGCTTTGACATATAAATCACTGAATTTATTTTTCCTGGCATTATCCACACAGTAAATCACAAGTTAAGAAAAGGAACTCCCAGGTAAAATTTAGTCTTACTGTTTTGTAGATAAATTTAAATAAAAGACTTCCACAAGAAGGTGGCTTCGATCAAACAGCAGTCTGCCCGGGCAAACTGCATGTCAAAGTTCCAAACGGACAGACCCTTCACTTCTCTCGCAAACAGCCGTTCCTGGGCAAGGGCTGCATGAGGAGCGCTCGGCAGTCTGGCCCAATCTGCCAGATGAAGCAACGGATCTGCAATGCTGAGCCAGGCAGACTCTACGAGGCTACTGTAGACACGAATCCTCAACAGGGCATATTTTCCATCCAAACGTGCAACCCATAAACTAGACTAAGCAACACTCTGCTTGGATAATTTATATACTCCTGTCACAGGCTTAAGCACTTGGGAGGTAACTTGGGAAAGTGCCTTCTCTATCGTTCCAGTGTTCCTTTCGAAGATGAAAACTCGAAGGATTTTTTAAATCTCTCAAAGAGAAGAAAAGAAAATCTGAGTTACTTAAAACAGATGTCTCAAAGTAGCATCTACTTCGTAAGAGAATTCAACTTTTAAGACCCTGGGGCATTAAAGGTGTCTCAATATTTTCCATGTTTTTGGTTCTTAATTTATCAAATTAATCCCTTATATTGCTATTATGTAAAAGCTGAAATTCTGGCTCAACTAAAGTCCTTAGAGATGAAGATACTCTAAATGCTTTCCCTGTGAATTTCTGCCTAATCCAGAGCCCTGTGTCAGTCAACAGTTAAGTAAATACTTGCTGGGAATCTGTTGGAGAGACAGAAATGGATGCTAGGGGTTGCCAGTAAATTAATCTCCTTTTCAGACTTAAACGTTAATGAAGCCTCAGGATGGCTGACCAACCTGGTGATGATGTCAAGAGTGGTTAGCTGAGGGATCTGAATCTGTTGAGGAGTCAGCCCGTGTTGCTCCAGCTGCTTTGGGATCAAGTGCCTATGGGCGATCTCTATCTTCTCCTCTTGTGTGTACCCTGGAAAAGAAGGGTTCTTCTTGTGTAATCAGCACATGGCATCCACTGTACCAGGCTTATGCAACGGTAGTCTGCAGACTCAATGGATCTTGGATTTAGAATGAACTTAAGTATTACTTCAACTAAGATTATAATCAGAATAAAGAAATTTCATCTCCAGTCAATAATTGCTAAAATTCCAATTTTTTCACAAACAACACTAGCATTTACTAAACAGTGTTTGAAAGTCTTTTGATTAAATGATATATCTCTCAAAGAGAAAAAATATCTCAGTCAGACCTTAGAAATAATTATCTCCTTGACTCAAATGTGATTTTTTATTTAATAGGAAAACAATACATCCCTTTTCTCTAGCATAATTTGATACATAACTGAAAAAACTTACAAGAAGGACAACAAACACTTCAATTAAATAAGCAGTGAGTTCAAAAGGAAGAGCTGCAAAGGAGCTATTTCCAGAGCTCTGATGGTAATTCCAGCAGCAAAACAAACACCAGGATGTCCCTATAAAAGCTTTTTCCTTCTACATGTCGCAATTATACATATAATTTATATATATTATATATTCTACACACACACACACACACACACGTATATATTTAGAGAGAGAGAGAGACAAAATTCTCTCTGAAATAATTGCCTCCTTTCCATTTAAGAAGCAGAGTCTTAGAAGAAAGCATGCGCACACTCCCCAGGAAGGAAGAAGGTGGCATCACATGTCCGCCTCTGGAGCAGCTGTCCTGCTTACTTCACTTCACATTGGTGTACTTTATGGATTTTCTCCCTTAATTTGAAATCTCCAAGCAATTGGGTCTCATTACTTATTTATTTTAGCCTTATAAATACCCACAAAGCAATCTTTTTACTCCACCATATTTTAAAACTAAATACAGGAACCTGTAGGGCTCACATATAACTAAGAAATCCAACTATCACTCACTTGGTAATAAAAATATACTTCAGAGAAATATGAAATATATATTATCTATTTCTAAATATTACCAATATCTAAATATATTTAGGTTCTACTCTATTTTCATTTTAACAAATACCCACTGTTATTTGATCTCTTCTAGCGAAAAATAATTCTGAGCAATTAAAATAAGGTGAAAACACTGGGATTTATTCACTATTAGTAACTAAAGAACTTTATTTTGCACACTCCAGTGAAAGAGAAGGCATGGTGGAAAAAATATATATAACTACCTGACAGATCAAACAAAAAAGAAGAGGAATTTTGTGCTCTGCACGTCTACGTAAAAGTGAGGCCAGCTGTCAGAAAAAGCAAGTTCAGCCACTCTTTAGGAACAGCCTCTTAATAAGAATAAATGATCAGACTTTCCAAGAGATGTTAAAAACTTCAAAATCTGATAGACAGGAAGCTAAACTGACCACGGAAAGATCTATTTTCGCTTTTTAGAGACTCACTTTAAATAAATAAGTAATGTTTATCTGTAATTTTACAAATTGCTTCAAAGAAGAATGTTTGGATTTCCACAAAAATCAGAACATAAACGTACTTCTATCTGTCACGGTTAAAATAAACACACACAAAAACAAAATTTTGTTGTTCCAGACTTTGAATCTACATAAAAGCTGGTTCATACACCAGTCAGAACTTGTGAAGATCATACACTGACGAATCCACTTTTTACTCAAAACTCCACAGCTCGACCAATATTCAGGGTTATGCTGAGAAAGGCAAGAAAAATGAAATAATGACTTTATTTATGAATCAAGTACCTGGCACCTGAATAATCTCCATTCTGTCCAACAAGGCAGGTGGAATAGTGGCAGTGGTGTTGGCAGTAGCTATAAAAAGAACTTGGGAAAGGTCAAAGGCCACATTTAGATAATGATCTGTGAAGTTATGGTTTTGTTCGGGATCCAACACCTGTGGGAGAACGATAAACATTTAAACAAATTAAGTAGTTCCAATAGAAAGCTGTATAAACTAAAACACACAAGACATTCTAGCAAGGTTGATATTTCTGCTTGATATAGTTAGTTTGGGAAACATGGGGATAACACTAAAACCTGAGCAACGCTTTTACATTCCCCACAATCTGAATACTTTTTTTGAAAAACAGAAACATATTCAATGTCAAAATTTTTGAAAATCTATGAAAGCATAGAGAAGCAAAAATTACCCTTTCAAGCTCTGTTCTTAAATCTATTTATTAATGACTCCTTGTGTGTCCATAAAGAAGTTACCAATCCTGCAGAACCAGTTTCCCTCTTGGTGACACACCTTCTCTTAATTGCTATAGGAATCTAAAATAAATGTGCAGAGTATTCTGAAATTCTTAGTAAGAGGTAAAATAGTAATTAGTATATTCCTCTTCAAACATTATCAGAAAGGCCAGAAAGACTTTAATGAAAGCGGAATTCCAAACAAGAGTAAACTAGTAAAAATTACTATGCTACCATATTCTGATACAGCACAAAGAAATAGTCACTTTTAAAAAATGCCCTAGGGGTTGGCCCGGTGGCACAGCAGTTAAGCGCGCACGTTCCGTTTCTTGGTGGCCGAGGGTTCGCTGGTTCGGATCCCAGGTGCGGACATGGCACCGCTTGGCAAAAGCCATGCTGTGGTAGGTGTCCCACGTATAAAGTAGAGGAAGATGGGCATGGATGTTAGCTCAGGGCCAGTCTTCCTCGGCAAAAAGGGGAGGACTGGCAGTAGTTAGCTCAGGGCTAATCTTCCTCAGGGAAAAAAAAAAAAGTCTTAAAGCAAAACCTTTCTGTTTATAATGAACAAAATATCAGTATCACTTAGAGGATTTTAATTGGATAAATTAGATAATTTACTGATTAGGCTCCTAAAGTGCTGTACAACTGTATATTAAGGAGACTATATCTTCTTTAGGTTACTGTTCAAATGCTCTGAGTTGCAGGCTTCATTGAGGAGAGGCCTACACAGGACTTTAAACAAGTCACCAAGAGCCTTCCACATGTTCTAACCCTTTACCATATTACCACTTTCACTTACATTAGATTACTACTGTTATAAATAGGGTTGACATACTTCCAAAGAGAAGTAAAATGACTAAAATACTTACCAAAGACAATTTTATTACATAATCAGCGTTTCCTTGCTTCTGACTCCCTTTCCAAAGTTTGACTTAATTTAAATATGTTCACAAGTTAGCCTTAATTCAAAGCCCTTGCCAGAGAACCCTGAACTTTGTTCAACATGCATTATTATCAGAAACTCAGTGTTTATCTAGAATACAATGCCCAGAAATTCTACTATTCATATTTTCACAAGACTTAATGCTTCATGTTATAAAAATAAGGAACTTTCAAGTTATCAAAGACAATTCCAATTAGGTTCAGTAAAGAACTGGTTAAGACTAATCTTACTGTCTATGAATTATCTGAAAACTGTTGATCCATCTACGGAAAATAAGGCGATCTTAAGTAAACCCATTATCTACTTTAAATAAAAATCTATCCTTTAGTGGCTATAACTAAATTTAATACATACATGTTGGATACGTTTTAGAAATGGCTGTCAGACCTGTCCAAGTAAAATAATGTTTTTCCCTTACAATTTTAAGACACTAGGGTTTAAAAAAAGAAGGGAAATTAATAAAGCAGTGTTTCTGAACTATGAATGAGGTCTCTTAAAATGCATCACAGGACATCTAGGTTATGAAGAGAGAAGACCAGTGATGCCCAATTTGCCTGCCTCCATCTTTTATTTTGAAAAACACAAAAGATACATAGAGTTTGCATAGCATCAGAAATACGGTCAATTGCCTGCCAGACAAGAATAACTTCTAGTAAACACGACTCAGATGAAATCTTAAGGTAAACTGGTGAGTCCATGGAGGGACAAAATTACAGTAAGAATTTTTTAGCCATCAAACTTCTACTTTCCCCCCCAAACTTTAGAGCCAGGGCTTCCACGGCCCAATTATCCACATACAGAAGCTGTTTCAAGAATGACTAGCACTGTTTTTCCTCTTTTCCTCGTTAAAAGCTCTTTCTGCATCAATCCTGGGGCTGTCACTCCTACTACAGAGCACGACCGGGAATGGGAACAGCCGTGATGGGACACATTACTCTGAGGAACGTGAAGTCAGGGCGGGATAAACTATGGGGAGGGGTACATACTGAGAATTGTTCTTCAATTATAATTTCTGGCAGGACAAGAACTAGAGATGTTTGTAGGCAATCCAGGAATATACTCCACTCATTACAGACGACTAGGTAACTATCATTTTTAGGTATAATATTATGGTTATATATTTTTAAAAGTCTCTATCTTTTATAGATACTAAAATATTTATGAAAAGATACGTCTGGAATTTGGTTCAAAATAAAAAGGAGTTGGGTTGGGGAGAATGGGTAGGAATAGATAAAACAAAATTGTCCATGAGATGATAACTGTTAACACTTGGCAACGAGTTTGTGCAGTGCATTACACGGTCACGCATCAATGAATGAAGGGGCTATGTTCTGAAAAAACGTGCCATTAGGCAATTGTATGGTTGTCTGAACGTTACAGAGTGCCCTTATGCAAACCTAGATGGTACAGCCTACTGTACACCTAAGCCAGATGGTACTAATCTTACGTGACCACCATCGAATATCCGTTCTGTCGTTGATCAGAAAGGCTGTCAGGCAGCACATGACTGTATACTTTTCTCTACTTTTGTTACGGTTGAAATTTTCCACAACAACAAGTAAAAATAAATAAATAAAGTAAAATAAAAAAACCAAAATCAACTCTGAATGTTGATTAATACATGATTAATACTACAGAAATTTAAATCAGTGATAATGACAAATGAGAAAAAAAGGCACTAAAACTATGTAGGGGAGAGATATGGACAAAATAAAAATAGCTAATACATAGCCAATCAGTATAACTAAAGGAGAGGTCCCCCCAAATGTAAAATAGGTTACATTAAAGAAATAACCAAGGAAATATCCTAGAAGAGCCAATACGATAGACTGAAAAGGCTTAGACTCCTCTTGCGCAATAAACGAACGAACGTTATTAGAATAATATTAGCCTACGGAATTTTCAAGCAATATTATGACTAGTTTAAACTAGTTATAAATCTTTAATATAAAGAATATGTATAACATACATAAAACATGAAGCATAACAAAATGAACATCTGTGAACCCACTACCCAACTGTGACTACACTTGGATTTTGTTTAGAACAGTGGTTACAAAAGTGGAATGTTTAAGATGGCCCACCGAAGTGCATGCAGAAAATACTAGTATATATATTCACCTTTATCTATGAACACCAGAAAGAAATTAGTTTTTACAAATATTTCATATACAAAATGGAAGAAATGCCCTTGTTGGAACACATCTCAGAGAGCAGAGATTCCATAATGAGAAACGGCTGACGGTGGGGTCCTCACTTATCTGCTTTCACTTGTAATTACAGCACACTGTAACCCATGCATGTGTGATTAAGTGTTTTTCACTTAATATCATTAAAGATAATAAAGGCAACAATATGAACAACAAGAAACTGATAGCTGATACTTTTATTTCTGAAAAGCTTTGAAAGCCACATTATGAAATAAAAACAATTATCTAACTGGAATACATTGTTTTCACTAAAAATATAACTATCTTAGCTTTTAAAATTTGTTCTGAGTGGATTAAATATATAAGTACATAATATTAGTACTGTGGCACATATATGTTTATATTACATATATGTTCTTTCTTATGGATTGAAATGTGTCCCTTTAATGTGCCTATTGGGAAATAGGGCCTTAAAGGAGGAAATTAAGTTTAAATAAGGTCATAAGGGTGAAGCCCTAAACCAATATGACTGGTGTCCTTCTAAGAAGAGGGAGAGAGAGGCCAGCCCCATGGCCAAGTGATTAAGTTCATGTGCTCTACTTTGGCGGCCCGGAGTTTGCCGGTTCAGATCCTGGGTGCAGAACTCACACCGCTTGTCAGGTCGTGCTGTGGCAGCATCCATGTAGAAGAACTGAAATGACCTACGACTAGGATTCATGACTATATACTGGGGCTCTGAGGAGAAAAGAAAAGAAAAGAGGCAGACTGGCAACAGATGGTAGCTCAGGACCCATCTTCCTCACCAAAAAAAGAACGTGAGTCTCCTCTAGCAAACCAATAGCAATACCCACTGCAGCATTTAAGAAAAAACAAAAACATAAAAGGAGGGGGAGAGAGAAGGGGAAGGTGTGAGCACAGAGAAAAAGCCATGTGAGGGCACAAAAGGCTGCAAGCCAAGGAGGGAGACTGCAGGAGCAATCAGAGTGCCAACCTTGATCTTGGACTTCCAGCCTCCAGAACTTAGAGAAAATAAATTTCTGTTTTTTTAAAGCCACCCAGTCTGGGGCATTTTGTTATGGCAGCTTCGCAGACTAATACAGCCTTATTATGTATATATTTATATCCATAGGGATGTGCTTTCAAAAGTTTTTCCTGATGGGATACATGAACAAACTAGATGGAGATTACTGATGCAGACAATAAACAGACCTCAGCAAACATAAAAAGCCGCAGACTGCAACCTGCAAACAAACCCTTGAAAACCGTAGCCTGAAGATAGACTCCATCGGAACAGCAGACAAATCAAGAGAATCAGAAGTAAGAATGAAATTATTAAGTACACAATTAAAACTAAATGTAGAAGGAAATACTTTCTAAAACGGCAGAGTAAGGAATTCTGAAAATCTGCTCCTACAAAAAGCAATGAGAACACTAGCAAAAACTATCAAAATCAACTTTTTCAGAATTCTAGACATTAAGTGGTAACAATATGAGGAGTGTTTATTCAAAAATAATAGCTGAATCTCAGGAAATATAGCAAGCTTTGTGGTGTTTTAACTTGCTTTACTCTTGCCCCTTCTCCCAAGTTCACGGTAGCCTTGAGAACCA